TTTCAATTTTTTTGATTTTCAACTTTTCGATTTTTCAAACTTCCAATTTTTCGATTCTTTAATTTTTGGCTATTTCTGTTTTGGAATTTTTCAATTGTATTTTGAATTTACAATTTTTCGATTCTATTCTTTTTAAATTTTTTGATTAAAAAAATTTTCGGGTTTTCAATTTGTCCACTTTCCTGTTTCGATTTCTCGACGTCCCAAGTTCTCAAATTTCGATTTTTTCAGTTCTTCAATTTGTTAGGTTTTTTATTTTTTGGATTTTTTAAGTTTTCCATTTTTCGATCTTTCAAATTTTTGGTTTCCTCAATTTTTCTTCGATTTTTCATTTTTTCGATATCTCTGTTTTGGAATTTTTCAGTGTTTTGATTTTTTAATTTTTCGATTTTTCCATTTTTTTAAATTTCCTCAATTTTTCCATTGTTCAATGTTATATTTTAATTTTTCTACTTTTTAAATTTTAGATCAATCGATTTCTCGATTTTTCAGTTCTTCGATTTCTCGACCTTTTGATTTTTCAACTTCTCGGTTCTGTTTTTCGTTTAAAATTTATGATTTTTTGTTTTTTCAATTTTTCGGTTTTTAAATTTTGAAATTTTTCAATTTTTCAAACCAAGATTTCGATGTTCCGATTTTTCGATTGTCCTCTTTCCCAAATCTTCGATTTATTATTTATGGATTTTTTTAAATTTAAATCTTCAATGTTTTTAATTTTCAACTTTTCGATTTTTCAATCTTCCATTTTTCGATTCTTCAATTTTTCTTTGATCTTTAGATATATCGATTTATCAATTTTTCGATATTTCTGTTTTAAAATTTTTCAATATTTTGATTTTTTTAAATTTTATTTTTCAATTTTTCGGTTCTCTAGTTTTTCAATTTTTGGCGCTTCTAAATGTTCGATTTTTTAATTAATCGAATTATCGGCTTTTCAATTTCTCCACTTTTCCGATGTTTCGATTTCTCGACGTCCCAATTTCCCGATTTTGACTTTTTCAGTTCCTCAATTTTTCGATTTTTCAATTTTTTAAATTTTCGATTTCTCGATATTTAAAATTTCAGTTTCTTCATTTTTTCGATATTTCTGTTTTGGAATTCTTCAATATTTAGATTTTTCAATTTTTGGACTTTTTGATTTCTCGATTTATTAAAATTTACGTTTTTCAATTTTTCGATTGTTCAATTTTGCAGCTTAATTCTCCTACTTTTTAAATTTTAGATTATTCGCTTTCTCGATTTTCCAGTTCTTTGATTTTCTATTTTTCAGTTTTTCGAATTTTTAAATTTTTTGATGTTTCAATTTCTCGATGTTTTGATTTTTCAATATTTCGGTTTTTAAATTTTTCAACTTCTCAATTTTTGAAACTGAGATTTCGATGTTTCGAGTGTCATTTTTTCCAATTTTTCGATTTATCGATGTTTTTAATTTAAATTTTCAATTTATTTATTTTTTGACTTTTCGTTTTCTCAATCCTTCAATTTTTCGGTTCTTTAATTTTTCTTTGATCTTTAGATATATCGATTTAACAGTTTTTAGATATGTATTTCTGTTTTAGAATTTTTCAATATTTTGATTTTTGAATTTTTCGTTTCGATTTTTTGATTTCTCGATTTTTTTAAATTTTATTTTTCAATTTTTTTCATGTTACGATTTTTCGATTCTTCAATTTTACCACATTTTAATTCCTTTATTTTTTAAATTGTAGAGTATTTAATTTTTAAAATTTTTGATTTTCCGATTTTTCAGTTTTTAAATTTTTCGATTGTTCAATTTATAGACTTTCTGAATTCGAATCTTTCAATTTTTAAATTTTTTTAATTTAATGCCAATTAAATTTCTCAATTTTTCGTTTTTTCAATTTTTCGATGTTTAAAATTTTTCATTTTTCCATTTTCCAATTTCCCAATTTTTCAAACTGAGATTTCGATGTTTCGATTGTAATATTTCCCAATTTTTCGATTTATCAATTTTTTTTAATTTAAATTTTCAATTTTCTTAATTTCCGAAATTTCGACTTTATCCAATCTTCCAATTTTTCGATTCTTCAATTTTTCTTTGATTTTTAGAAATATCGATTTATCAATTTTTTAATATTCCTGTTTTACAATTTTGCAATATTTCTATTTTTGGTTCCGATTTTTCACTTTTTCGGTTTTTAAATTTTTGAATTTCCCATTTTTCAAAATGAGATTTCGATGTTTCGATTTTTCAATTGCCCTATTTACTTACCAATTTTTCGATTTATGGATTTTGTTAAATTTGAATTTTCAATTTTTTTAATTTCCGAATTTTCTATTTTTCAATTTTTCGATTCTTCAAGTTTTCTTAGATTTTTAGATATATCGATTTATCGATTTTTGGATATTTCTGTTTTAGAATTTTTCAATATTTTGATTTTTCAACTTTACTTTAAAATGTTTTTCATGTTTCGATTTCTTCATTTTTCAATTTTACCACATTTTAATTTCTCTATTTTTTAAATTTTAGAGTATTTGATTTTTCAATTTATAAAATTTTTGATTTTTTGAATTTTCAGTTTGTAAATTTTTCGATATTCCAATTTCTGGATTTATCGAGATTTCGATTGTTTGATCTATTAATTTTTTTGAATTGTGAAGCTTTCAATTTTTTATTTTTTCGATTTTATGCCAAGTCAATTTCAAAAATCGAAAATCGAAAAACTGAAAAATCGGAAAAGACAAATTGAAAAAACGAAACATCGAAAAATTGAAAAATTTTAAATTGAAAATCAAACCGAAAAATTGATGAAATAAAAGGAGAAATCGAAAAAGCAAAAATTTTGAAAAATCGTAAAATTCTCGATCTGTAAATTCAATAAAATTGAAAACTGGAAAATCGATTAGAAAATGAAAAATTGGAAAATTGCAACAGTGAAATGTCGACTACTTGAAAAATGAAAAATCAAGAAACTCAAAAAGAAGAAAAATTGGAAAATTGTAAAATTTAAAAATCGATAAATTAAAAATTGAAAAAAAGAAATATTTTGAAACTGGAAAATTGAGAAATCGAAAATTTGCAAATTTGTAAAATCGAAAAATGTAACATTGAAATTGGAAAATTAAAATACGAAAAATTAAACAAAAAGAGAAATTTAAAAATCACAGTTTTCAAGAATCAAAAATTGAAAATTCGAAAGACTGTAAAATTAAAAGATTGTAACATTGAAAACTTTGAAAATAAAAAATCAAAAAACTGAAAAGGCGAAAAATTGCAAAATTGTAAAATCGCAAACTCCAAAGATTTAAAAATCGATAAATTAAAAATTAAAAAATCAAAAATTGAAAAACTAGAAATTTTAAAATACGAAAATTGAGAAATTCAAAAGTGCAATATCGAAAAATCTGTCTTTGAAATTGAAAGTATCGAAAAATGGAACAAAAGGTGAAACTGAAAAATGATTATTAAGAAAATGAAAGACTGAAAAATCGGTCTGAAAGAACAAAAAATAAAAATGTCCAGAAATTGAAAAATTAAAAATCCAGAAACTGAAAAATTGAAAAAATGAAAAATTTTAAATTGAAGAACAAATTGAAAAATGGAGCAATCGAAAAAGCAAACTTTGAAAAACCGTAAAATCTAAAATCGAGAAACTGAAAAATTGAATTACAAAAACCAAAAATGAAAAATCGATAAATTGAACAAAAAGAGAATTTAAAAATGAGTTTGTAAATTTTTCGATATTCCAATTTCTGGATTTATCGAGATTTCGATTGTTTGATCTATTAATTTTTTTGAATTGTGAATCTTTCAATTTTTTATTTTTTCGAATTTATGCCAATTCAATTTCTCGATTTTTCGCTTTTTCGACTTCTCGACATTTCGATTTCTAGATGTTTCGATTTTCCAATTTTTTTATCTTCCGATTTTTCTCCATTTTTCGACATTTCAATTTTGGGATTTTTCAATTTCACGATTTTGCAGTTTTTCCATTCTTAAATTTTCCACTTTTCCATTTTTCGACTTCTCGATTTTTCAAGTTTTAGATTTTCTCAATTTCTTGACATTTTAATTTTGTAAATATTTCAAATTGTGGAGTTTTCAATTTTTCGAAATTTTATTGCTTCGATTTTTTAAATCTTAGATTTTTCGGGTTTTTGATGCATGGATTGCCTCGATCTTTCGATTTTTCGAGGGAGTAAATGGTTAATTTTTTTTTTTTAATTTGGATATCTCGGGTGAAAACTCAACCCAGATTCATAAACTACAACTATAGGAATACGTTGTTTTATAAAATGTAAAACAGCGGTTATCGGTCTAACATAAATTGACACAGACGACGGACAGACAGACCAATGTCATGTTTTCTCGACGTTTCACAGCTCATAAAAAATAAAAAGTAGGTCTCCCTTTCCAATCATCACTCATCTACTGCGGTTTTATTACAATTTTTATCAGATGACGATGTGTGAAATTGCAAAGAACGCACAACAGTACCAAGAATTAATAAAAAGGAGCGTGGTGTCATAAAACGTGATCGGAGAATTTCAAAACAGACTCTTAGAACTGTGCAACTCTAAATTCTTAGTTTACACTGACATCACTCCTAAATCCCGCACATAATCAAACTTTTATCTGTTTTCTAACTCCGTCCGTTAGTCATATTTAAAGTATCTCCACAGGTAGCCTTATTACCACGCAATTTCCAACAACCAGCAACCTTGCGACGCAAGGTTTACACGAATGTGGGCGCTTTACCCTCCATCCATTTTCTCAATGTCCACACAACCAAACAATAACACAGCCGACCATAAAAGATGACGCAAAATACTGATGTTTATTATTTGTTTTATGAACTCCCACAGCATTCGTTCATATACACAATAATTGGGAAAATGTAATCACCGGCAAGGTCAAGGCTACACGCGCTCAAAACCAAGTCATTTGAATGAATAAAACAATTAAAAAAATTACAGGATGAGGAGAACAATGCCGAATCCTGGTCATCTCCAATGTCGTTCCGGAGCGACTTACTTACCTTCAACAAAGTTAAAATTTTCTGCGACAAGTCGTAATCGAAGTTCGAATACTTCGAATTCGACATGTCATAAATGAACACTATCCCGGCCTTCTGGGTCACCGGGTTCTGCAGGGCGGCGTCAAGTTGGTACACGACCCCCTGGAGAGTGACTTGGTGGGTGCTGCTGGCCGGTTGGTGTTTGTGAGCAGTGAACACAGCGATTGCGGCATCGGTGGCATCTCTTTTCGGCTGGAAAAGATAAACACGTAATGACAGACATCTAATTAGTACGTCAGCGGGAGAGGCGCATATGCAACCCACTTACCAAAATTGTGAACTTCCCTGTCAATAGTTCCGAATGAAGGGGTTCTTTGTGCGGGTCGAAACAGCTTAGGCCTTCGCGTTGTCTCGTCAGCCCGTGCTGTTCGTAGAGCACCAGGGCCCGAAGAACGTCGAATTTTCGGGCGTAGAGGAATCGAACAGCCGTAGACCACGAGACTGGTCCCCACTTTCGGCGGAATTTTGCGTTGACTTTCTCGATGAAATCTTTCGTTGCCTGGAACGTAAACGAGGAGTCAGCGGATTCCTGGGAAGGCGAAAACGAGGCGGACAACAGTTCGAGGGAAAAATAACAAAAAAGGAGACAATACGCCCAAAATACAGTGGCGTAAATGGCACCCCCGCAGACCCCGCAATAAAGGCGATTAATAATCGATATATTTTAACGCGCGAGGAACGAGTTTTTATATTTTTTCTTTTTCTCAATTTGAAATTTTTCAGTTTTGGGATTTTTCAATTTTTTTTGTTTTCAACTTTTCGTTTCTTCAATTTTTGATTTGCAGGTTTTCTAGTTTTCATTTTAGATATGTAATAATAATTATAATTTTTATTAGAGTTGTTCACTTTTTCAATTTTTCGTTTTTGGAATTTCTTAATTTTTAGATCTTTGGACTTCACATTTTTCGATTTAATTCGTTCTTTGATTCATTAATTTTTTCTCGATTTTTGGTTTTTCAATGTTTCTATTTTTCGTTTCTTCAGTTCTACAGTATTGTCAAATAAATGTTATATAAATTAAAAATCGAAATTTTTGTGGAAAAATAAAACAAAACTGAATTACAATTTTTCGATTTCTTGATTTCTCGATTTTTAGTTTACTTAATTTTTCGATATTTCAGTTTTACAATTTTTGCCTTTTTTAAATTTTCATTTTTACATTTCTCAATTTCTCTATTAAACAATTCTTTGATTTTTCGATTTTTCCTCTTTCCAATTTATCGATTTTTGGAGTTTTCGTTGTTCCAATTTTGAGATTTTTCAATATCTCCAATTTTTTATTTAAAATTTTTCACTTTTTTGATATTTCGATTTCTCGATGTTTCGATTTTTAAAATTTCTGATTTTTCGAATTTTGAATATTTTGATTTATCGTTTTTTTTTTAAGTTTAAATGTGTATTTCAGTTTTAAATTTTCCGGTTTTTCGATCTCGGGCTATTTCGATTTCTCCATTTCACGGATCTTTTGAGTTTTAAAATTCTCCATTTTTCGATTTTATGTTTTGTAATGCTTCGATCTCCCGATTTTAACCTTTTCAATGTGTATTCCAATTTTTCGATTTTGGAATTTTCGATTTCTTGCATCTCGATTTTTCGTTTTTTCGATTTTAAAATGTTTTTACTTTTCGTTCTTTTTTTCGATTTCTGGATTTTTCAAGTTTTCGATTTCTCAATTTTTCAACATTCCAATTTTGAGAATGTCTTATATTTTTCAGTTTTTTGATATTTTCATTTTTCAACTTTTTAAATTTTGATTTTTCGACTTACCGGAAATCGATTTTTGGGTTTTTCAATTTTCCGACTTTTCAGTTCTGAAATTTTTCAATTTGTCGATTTTTTAGTTTTTCATTTCTTCAGTTTTTCGGTTTTTCAAGTTTTCGAATTTTTAAATTTAAAATTTTTCAATTTTTCGATTTTATTTTTTTTTACGTTCCGATTTCCCGATTTTAATTTTTTTTATGCTTTTCAATCTTTGGTTTTTCTAAATTTTCATTTTTCCATTTCTCGATTTTTCGACTTTTTATTTTTGTGTTTTTTTTTAATGTTAAATTTTTCGTTATTGTAATTTTTCTATTTTTTAAATTTTAGATATTTAGATTTTTCGACATTTTGAATTCTCGATCTTTTTTCAGTTTGAATTCGTCGGTTTTTCGATTTTCCAAAATTTCGATATTTCAGTTTTACAATTTTTCAATTTTTGCCTTTTTTTAATTTTCATTTTAACATTTCTCAATTTCTCTATTAAACAATTCTTTGATTTTTCGCTTTTTCCTCTTTCCAATTTATCTATTTTTGAAGTTTTCGTTGTTCCAACTTTGGGATTTTTCAATATCTCCAATTTTTTAATTTAAAATTTTTCACTTTTTTGATATTTCGATTTCTCGATGTTTCGATTTTTAAAATTTCTGATTTTTCGAATTTTGAATATTTTGATTTATCGTTTTTTTTTAAGTTTAAATGTGTATTTCTGTTTTAAATTTTCCGGTTTTTCGATTTCGGGCTATTTCGATTTCTCCATTTCACGGATCTTTTGATGTCTCAATTTTTTAATTTCGATTTCTCGGCTTTGCCATTTTTCAATTTTTTATTTCTTCAAGTTTTTAGATTTTCAAAATTCTCCATTTTTCGATTTTATGTTTTGTAATGCTTCGATCTCCCGATTTTAACCTTTTTAATGAGTATTCCAATTTTTCGATTTTGGAATTTTCGATTTCTTACATCTCGATTTTTCGTTTTTTCGATTTTAAAATGTTTTTACTTTTCGTTCTTTTTTTCGATTTCTGGATTTTTCAAGTTTTCGATTTCTCAATTTTTCAACATTTCAATTTTGAGAATGTCTTATATTTTTCAGTTTTTTGATATTTTCATTTTTCAACTTTTTAAATTTTGATTTTTCGACTTACCGGAAATCGATTTTTGGGTTTTTCAATTCCCCTGACTTTTCAGTTTTGAAATTTTTCAATTTGTCGATTTTTTAGTTTTTCATTTCTTCAGTTTTTCGGTTTTTCAAGTTTTCGAATTTTTAAATTTAAAATTTTTCAATTTTTCGATTTTATTTTTTCTTACGTTCCGATGTCCCGATTTTAATTTTTTTTTTGCTTTTCAATCTTTGGTTTTTCTAAATTTTCATTTTTCCATTTCTCGATTTTTCGACTTTTTAATTTTGTGTTTTTTTTTAATGTTAAATTTTTCGTTATTGTAATTTTTCTATTTTTTTAATTTTAGATATTTAGATTTTTCGACATTTTGAATTCTCGATCTTTTTTCAGTTTGAATTCGTCGGTTTTTCGATTTTCCAAAATTTCGATATTTCAGTTTTACAATTTTTCAATTTTTGCCTTTTTTTAATTTTCATTTTTACATTTCCCAATTTCTCTATTAAACAATTCTTTGATTTTTCGCTTTTTCCTCTTTCCAATTTATCTGTTTTTGAAGTTTTCGTTGTTCCAACTTTGGGATTTTTCAATATCTCCAATTTTTTAATTTAAAATTTTTCACTTTTTTGATATTTCGATTTCTCGATGTTTCGATTTTTAAAATTTCTGATTTTTCGAATTTTAAATATTTTGATTTATCGTTTTTTTTTAAGTATAAATGTGTATTTCAGTTTTAAATTTTCCGGTTTTTCGATTTCGGGCTATTTCGATTTCTCCATTTCACGGATCTTTTGATGTCTCAATTTTTTTATTTCGATTTCTCGGCTTTGCCATTTTTCAATTTTTTATTTCTTCAAGTTTTTAGATTTTTAAAATTCTCCATTTTTCGATTTTATGTTTTGTAATGCTTCGATCTCCCGATTTTAACCTTTTTAATGTGTATTCCAATTTTTCGATTTTGGAATTTTCGATTTCTTACATCTCGATTTTTCGTTTTTTCCATTTTAAAATGTTTTTACTTTTCGTTCTTTTTTTCGATTTCTGGATTTTTCAAGTTTTCGATTTCTCAATTTTTCAACAATTCTTATATCTTTCAGTTTTTTGATATTTTCATTTTTCAACTTTTTAAATTTTGATTTTTCGACTTACCGGAAATCGATTTTTGGGTTTTTCAATTTTTCGACTTTTCAGTTTTGAGATTTTTCAATTTGTCGATTTTTTAGTTTTTCATTTCTTCAGTTTTTCGGTTTTTCAAGTTTTCGAATTTTTTAATTTAAAATTTTTCAATTTTTCGATTTTATTTTTTTTACGTTCCGATTTCCCGATTTTAATTTTTTTATACTTTTCAATCCTTGGTTTTTCTAAATTTTCATTTTTCCATTTCTCGATTTCTCGATTTTTCGACTTTTTAATTTTGTGTTTTTTTTTAATGTTAAATTTTTCGTTATTGTAATTTTTCTATTTTTTAAATTTTAGATATTTAGATTTTTCGACATTTTGAATTCTCGATCTTTTTTCAGTTTGAATTCGTCGGTTTTTCGATTTTCCAAAATTTCGATATTTCAGTTTTACAATTTTTCAATTTTTGCCTTTTTTTAATTTTCATTTTTACATTTCTCAATTTCTCTATTAAACAATTCTTTGATTTTTCGCTTTTTCCTCTTTCCAATTTATCTATTTTTGAAGTTTTCGTTGTTCCAACTATGGGATTTTTTAATATCTCCAATTTTTTAATTTAAAATTTTTCACTTTTTTGATATTTCGATTCCTCGATGTTTCGATTTTTAAAATTTCTGATTTTTCGAATTTTGAATATTTTGATTTATCGTTTTTTTTTTAAGTTTAAATGTGTATTTCAGTTTTAAATTTTCCGGTTTTTCGATTTCGGGCTATTTCGATTTCTCCATTTCACGGATCTTTTGATGTCTCAATTTTTTAATTTCGATTTCTCGGCTTTGCCATTTTTCAATTTTTTATTTCTTCAAGTTTTTAGATTTTTAAAATTCTCCATCTTTCGATTTTATGTTTTGTAATGCTTCGATCTCCCGATGTTAACCTTTTTAATGTGTATTCCAATTTTTCGATTTTGGAATTTTCGATTTCTTACATCTCGATTTTTCGTTTTTTCGATTTTAAAAAGTTTTTACTTTTCGTTCTTTTTTCGATTTCTGGATTTTTCAAGTTTTCGATTTCTCAATTTTTCAACATTTCAATTTTGAGAATGTCTTATATTTCTGATATTTTCATTTTTCAACTTTTTAAATTTTGATTTTTCGACTTACCGGAAATCGATTTTTGGGTTTTTCAATTTTCCGACTTTTCAGTTTTGAAATTTTTCAATTTGTCGATTTTTTAGTTTTTCATTTCTTCAGTTTTTCGGTTTTTCAAGTTTTCGAATTTTTAAATTTAAAATTTTTCAATTTTTCGATTTTATTTTTTTTACGTTCCGATTTCCCGATTTTAATTTTTTTTATGCTTTTCAATCTTTGGTTTTTCTAAATTTTCATTTTTCCATTTCTCGATTTTTCGACTTTTTAATTTTGTGTTTTTTTTAATGTTAAATTTTTCGTTATTGTAATTTTTCTATTTTTTAAATTTTAGATATTTAGATTTTTCGACATTT